TATATATATGTATATATATATGTGTATATATATATGTATATATATATGTGTATATATATATGTATATATATATATGTATATATATATGTGTATATATATATGTGTATATATATATGTATATATGTATGTATGTATATATGGAATATAATGTATTCTGTTTACAGTACAATGTAGTAACTATGTTCATGCCATCTTCAATTAAAGTAATGTATATGAGTATTGAGAATAAACACATTGTAATTGTGTTCATAGTCTATATTAACAGCATGCTACAAATGAAAAGGACAAAGGCTCAAGATAAGTGTTGGCATGTGGACAGAGCTATTTATTTGGTGTTGTTGTGATGCAAAAACGTGTTTATGTTTTTGGATTTTTTGTGTAGAGTTTTGACAAAGAGGGCTCGTATACTTTCAGAAATTGTGTTTTAGTAATTGTTGTCCTCCATCTCATACCCTCATAATCTGTCAGCTCTCTTCCGTCTACTTTCTAGTGAATCCCGTGAAAACAAAGTGGGGAGAGTTCCGTTTTTTCATGCTCGACCATATAGAACTTATGTGAAAAGTCTGCACTTGGCTGCTGGAGCTTTGGTGGTATAGAGCGAGTTGTGTGTGCATTAATTGTTTGGTTGGTGGTTAAATGCCCATGAAGTATTTCTGAGCAAGACACTGAACCTCAAATTGATCCCAGTGAATGTGTGGGAATAAAACGGCACCATAGAAAAAGTGTCCATCGGATTTTACATGCAAGATCTTGCTTTTATTTTTATTTTAGAGAAAGAAATACCAGAGCTGACATAGCAAACATACACGTGTGACTGTATATTCTTTTCTGCATGCTGGTGGTGTCACACCCTTTAATATCTAAGACAAAATGAAAGTGACACTGATTAGTTGATTCTTCCTTTGTTGTCTTATACTGCAAGACCCTGAAAATGAAACAGCTAAATGGAATTCAGCCATCATTCCTTTTTTAAATATGTATAGCCTACCTGTACCTACTGTATGTGCATATTTTAGCAGACTTTCTTCCTTTACATTTTTTATTGATTATGCATCTTATTATATTCCGTAGTTCAGATAGAGTACACCTGACTGTCTGATTCTTCTTTCTTCATAAATCATAATTTTGTCAATGAACTAAACGGATTTTCCCCCCCCTTTTTTTAAGCGTGTACAACATGTAACATTAATAGTTGTATTTCCATAATTCTGTAATCATTTAAATTTTAGAAAATGAACAGCCAGGATACAGGTCTGTCGCCTGGTTTGCAGTGAATCGCTCGCCGATGCCACTGATGGATAAATCCCAGGAATGGTAGTCGAGCGCAGATAAGATCAGACGTTAGGTGAACATGGCTCTCTCCAGAGGATTGAGATGCTGTCAAAGGGTTTTCTCCTGGATACCTGTCCTTATAATAACCTGCGTGGTGTTGTGGTCGTACTACGCCTACGTATTTGAGCTATGTCTTTGTAAGTATGAGACACGGTGTCCGTTTGTTTGGAATGTTTTTACCGTTTAATTGTAGACATCGCAGATTGCCGCACAGCAGTGTTGACAGAAATATTGTGTAAAACAGCAAAATATGCGGAAGTGGTTCAGGGTGTGCGCTTTTATTTAGCTAACGTGACATTTAGCTATTCAATAAATGACTGGTAATTAAATGTTTCATTGCCTCTAAGAGGTTAGCTAGTGTTTTTATTGCCGTGTCTCCCACAGCTAGCTACAGCCTTATAATCTGGCTAGTCGTGCTAGCCGGTAAATGTAGTTCCTCTTTTGAAAGATCACACTAGTGTTAGTGGAAACAGATGCTGCACTGTTGCTAGTCTCTGTCACCCGGCTTGTGTTTTTATCATGCCATATTCTTGCTTTTACAGTTACACTCACCAACACACTGGAGAAAGGTGAGTTATACCCACACATTGTTTTGTGCTATAAGCAGTGTGAGCTGCTATACAATACATGACTTTTATTTCATGATTGTTTAGTAAATGAATGTACCTGGTTTCTGCACTTGCAGTGGCCTATCTCCTGGTATTTCATGTTTGCTTTGTGATGTTCTCCTGGACCTACTGGAAGTCTATATTTACCCCCGCTGCATCACCATGCAAAAAGGTATCCTGAACACCGTGTTATTGATTTATTGTGCCATATATAACAAGTCTGTAAATATGATGTTATATGCATGTGATCATCATGCATGTTTGTTGCTCTAGTTCCAGCTGTCATACTCAGACAAGCAAAGATACGAGATGGAAGAGAGGCCAGATGCACAGAAACAAATCCTGGTTGAGATTGCAAAGAAACTGCCCATCTTTAGTCGAGCTCAATCTGGAGGTAAACTGTCCTTTTTAAGTTATTTATATTGTTCCTCAGCAAGGATATGATTTCATATGGAACTATGCATTTATTTGCCATATCTCAAAACCAGAGGAGTAACAAGGTACATTAGCCACAGTCCGTCATCTCGCACATATTCTGTGAGTGTTGAAAAGAAGTAGGCTAGTGCAGTTAGCCTTGTGTGTGTGTGTGTGTGTGTGTGTGTGTGTGTGTGTGTGTGTGTGTGCGCTCCTGAGCATCCCCCATCCAGAGTAATCAGCATATGCATCTCTTTCATTAGTGCTGATTGCTGAGACTAAGTTCTAGGCTACAGGAAGTAAGTGAAGGGTAAGCTCAGCTCAAATGTCGTTCATTCAACTGGCCATCCTGTTGTCTCCCAGCTATCAGGTTCTGCGACCGCTGCCAGGTATTGAAGCCTGACCGCTGTCACCACTGCTCGGTTTGTGAAACGTAAGTCACTCTTTCCTTCTCGATCCATTCGTCTGGAGAGATTGCCCAAGGCCGCCTGGGACTGTTGTGACAGTTAGAAGGTGTTGCTTTGTTGGCACACGATCTCTCAGAGAGAATATCCAAAAGGATCAATCGGAGCAGATGTTTACCGCAAGGAATCAGACTGCAATCACACCACATTGTGTGAAAAGCGAGAGATTTATGATATTCACTGCTGTAACATAGCTGCTGTACTGTAAAAATGACATACAGAAACAAAATATGTTTTTTGTTGAAGGTGTGTCTTGAAGATGGACCACCACTGTCCCTGGTAAGTCACTCGGCCTGTATTTCCCTGTTTTTAAGGAATTTATGCATTAATTATGCGCTGACACCCGCATTTCTTATTCTTTTAGGGTGAACAACTGTGTGGGCTTTGCCAACTACAAGTTCTTCCTGCTTTTCCTCTCCTACTCCATGCTGTACTGTGTATTCATTGCAGCAACAGTCTTTCAGTATTTCCTCAAATTCTGGGTGGTGAGTGTCATTAGTTGAAATGATCACTCATGCTCAACATCATAATGGAGTCATATGACAACTTTAGTTGCACATAGTCGGCACTATTGCAGTTCAATAAGAACAGAGAACTGAACCCTGTGTCATGAGTTATACCTTTTTTTTTTTTTTTTTAAAAAGTCAACAATTTTCTCAAGTTTCTCGTTCTCCTGTTTCTCTCTCCCAGGGTGAGTTGCCAAATGGGCCCGCGAAGTTCCACGTCCTCTTCCTCATGTTTGTGGCGCTCATGTTTTTCGTCAGTCTCATGTTCCTCTTTGGCTACCACTGTTGGTTGGTGGCCAAGAACCGATCCACTTTAGGTGAGGATCTACATATTTTTATCGGAGAACCCCTAAGATTCTGCTCCTAAAGCTGCTCTCTCACTACCTCGTGAATGCAGGTCTTAAAAGTAGATGTGGAGCATTAACATCTTATTCTAATTATTTTTCCTTTTCTAGAGGCCTTCTCAGCTCCAGTTTTTGTCAATGGACCCGAGAGAAATGGCTTCAATGTCGGCACACGCAGAAACCTGCAGCAGGTATTTGGAGAGGATCGCAGGCTGTGGTTCATCCCTGTTTTCACAAGGTGAGTCCGTCGTCAAGAGACGTCAAGTCAAACCGGTTCTCCTCCTCTTGCTCATTAATTCAGTGGTGCTGCTCATTTTGCATTAGCATTTCTCAAATATTAGACTTGGCTCTCGAAATTGCAATTGAGATAATTCAAATATAGAACCAGAGAACGTAACGCCACACAACATACATGTAATTGAATGTATTAATGTAATAAAATACAGGGGATGTGGATAGTTTATAGGATGGACAATATAAAGTGGAATGTCTTCAGAATACAGAGTTGTTTTGTATGTAGCAGTGTTGGAGCTAATGAACAAAATGTTGAATTAGGAATTGGATCAGTGGCGGGGATGAAGTAATGGTCTTGGTTCCTTAAGTAGCTTTCATCTTGTTTCATGCACTGGACACGTCAGCCAAGGGAATGGCCACTACTTCCCCTTGAAGAATCGGAGTTCTGAGGCCCACAACCCCTTATTAGCTAATGAGGACATGTGGGAGGAGTCGGAGGATGGCTCTGAGCAAGGAAGCTTGGGTGAGTTGAGTCCCTTTCATTTTGTCATATGCATATTTATACATCCACACGTTTGTAGTTCCTCGAATACAAACTGCTTTTCAATATGTTAAAACTGAAATAATTTTATACGTTTTTTTATTCAAGTTAAAAAATCACCTGATGAACTGGACTTGAGTCTGACGAGTGTGTCGAACCTTAGTAAATCTGCCACTACAAGGAATATAACTTTTGAATAAATAAATAGCGTCCCCTCAATTACAACCTTTCACTTAAATCTGTCACCAAAATGAAACAAGAATTTTGAGTGTGATTTATCCAATGTCCAGATTCATATTCTGGAAATGTATGCAAATTAGCACATATTTGATAATAGAATGCCTCATTTGCATAGTTTAACATAACATTTTAGAAAACTTCAAAAAACAATTGTCTTAATGTAAGTAATCAACTGGAGATGTGTCACGGTGATGTCTTTTAGTTAAAATGCTAAATGATTGAGCTGCAGTAAATAATGCATTACCAAACCAGAACAGTTTCACTTGTCTTCTCATTAAATGTGAGAATCATTATTATAACTCACTTGTTTTCTCTAATTCCAAAATACAAAATGCTTCAAAAAAATGTGAGCAGTTGATCTGGATCCATTTTAATACCCCAACTATTCCATAACTCACGTTAGTGTAGTCACAGACGGTACTGGGCACACACCTAAAAACAATAACTCTAGTCTGTAGGAAGTCACCTTTCAGCGCCAAACGTAAGCAGTTATGAAACACACTTTATCCCCCTGAAGTAAAAGAGGCTTAGACACGTAAGTCTGACAGTGAAACAAACCAAAAATACAAATGTGTTTGTGTTCAAACTTGTGTGTTCAAATTCAGTAATCTGGACAGTTTGGTTGAAACCGTTCTATTCTGCTGCCACCTGGTGGTCGTATGCAACATCATGTACTGAAGGAGCTGAATCAGTTCCAACAAACACCGATGAAATAATAAATGCTGACATGTCTTTGTTTTTGTCTTTCTTTCCAGCTGAGGACCAAGACCCCTCTGTTACCATAGAGATGGAAGAATAGTCATTTTAAGGACAATCTACACTTGTACAGAGGACGTAGATTTACCATCGCACACATAGTGTACCACGAGGCAGATGCATTCCAAACCATGTGGATGTTCAGACACTGAAAAACAAATTCTGAAGGTGGGCCAAACTTGTGGATTAAAACCTGCGATTGGATTGTCTTTGGCATTTCTACCCACGTTCTAATGATGAATAGAGTAACTCGATGGACAACCAGTAGCATCAGCTCTCCTCTCATGGACAACAGTATCAGTGTGATCTGGACAAAACAATTGTCAAATATTTCCTTGCATACAAAAAGACAAATGTATATATCTATCTACTGTGTGTATGTATATATGTGTATATATATATATCTATATATATATATATCTATATATATCTATATATATATATATCTATATATATCTATATCTATATATATCTATCTATATCTATATATCTATATATATATGTATATATATCTATATAGATATATAGATATATAGATATAGATATATAGATATATATATATCTCTATCTATATATATATATCTATATATATCTATATATATCTATATATATATATATATTTCCATCTGGTTGTTCCTGGCAAGGCACTGATATATTACTGTTGATTGGGAAGCTTGGGTCTGGCACTGTGCAAATTTATCTGCCTCTGTTTCATTGTTGGGCTGTGAGTTTACAGTGTTGCACCTATTGGTGAAGGGTGGTATCTAAATTGATGCACATAATGCTCCAGAGATCTCTTGTAGTGATTGAGTTTGGGTCTTGCAGCATATTAACATAGGACCTTACTTTTTTTTTTTTCCAATGACCATAAGCATATTGTAATACCTGACCTAACCTCTGCCTTATTAACATATTTATTCTTGTCTTTTGGGAGTCCATTTCTCCTCAGAATGTACGCAGCACCCTGCTTGTGAATAGACGTTGCCAACATTTTGGGCACTTATTTAGGAACGAACCTCCCGTATTATGCTTTAACAGAGTATTTTAGCATTAATATTGAGTTCAAATGCTATTGCCTATGTCTGATCAGACTGGTGACAGTAAGAAAAACAACCAGTGTATATGTGTAGCTCTGGTTAGCAGCTACAGCTCACGATGTTTGAAAATGAATCCTGAAACCAGAGTATTACAGCAAAACATAGAGGTATACTATGCAGGAATTTCCTAAAAAAAACCAAATGTAAAGTAATCCCTCTCAATCATCACTTCTGATTACGTTATTATATTAGAAGTGTGTGGCAGAGACACTCTGCTCTCTACCTGTAATTTCTCTTTCCCTCTTATTTAGCTGGGATCGTTTCTGAGCTTTTGGGCAGCAGGTGTTTACCACTCAGCCGTTAACCAAAAGGTGAGGTCGGGGACTTAATCACAACGTAGTGAGCAAGTTAAATTGCTGTCTCCATCTCTCTCTCTCTCTCTCTCTGTCTGTGACATGAATATACAAAGAGCTGCAGGTCTGTGTGTCTGTTTGACCGAGAGCAAGGGTGAGCCACACACACATGCACAGCCACACATGCAGAGAGGCACCTTCCTGCAGAGTCGTGTGGGCGTGTTTGTTTGTGCTTTAAATCGTAACCGCGGTGAAACAATTGGGAAATAACAATTTATTTCTCTGTTTCACGCCACTCCCTCTTCATTCACGCTCTAGCTCGCTCGACCACCGCTGCTCTCTCTCTGCTCATTGAGCCGGAGGCTCCAACTCTGAATGTTGTGTTTACAAACCGTAAGAGAGACTTGCTGCATAGTCTACCCTTTTAATATAATGTTAATAATAATTTGTTGGAGTCATATCCTGAATATACTGTATATTTTGACAACATGAAATGATGTTGACTACATATTGCTTATTCAAATAAATGCAGTGAACAGTTAGATTTCACGGTCTGGGATGATATGAGATAAACTGTGATAGAGAATTTTTTAAATAATTATCACGATCTTGTTTTCTACCATATCAGCCATCCCTAGAACACTTGGATGCAAAGTGAAATGAGCTTTTATCATAAGGGCACAAATTCATTCATAGGAGAGGACGTACTGTAGGTTATTGTTCACTTTTGATCTGTTTAAACATGCAGACATATATACATATGACTGATACTCATCCACTGGTTGGTAGAGGTCAGCGATCTTCTGCGATACATTTTCTTTTTTCTACCTGTGTTTATGTATTGTGACATTTTTAATACCAATGACACGGATTCTTCTCAGAGAGCATTTGGTTGATGGACTTGTGTACTTAGTTGGAAACCGTCTTTAATTGAGTACACATATTTATTTAGTATCAGTAAACAGTTGGGCCTTTTATCAAACCTTAATGTGGTTTGATCTCGACACATTAACTTTCCTCAGATCAGTTTTTCCTACTATGTTGGGAAAGCCAAATCCAGAGAAATACATAACACACATAATCATTGCTTGATCTTATCTGAGGTGCGATTCACTGTTTGAAAGCATGTACAAAACATTAGGAAAGATGTGGATGTTGAGTGTTTCATGTCGTCTTCAGTCTATTTATTGTTGTAATCGTCAGCTTTTTTTTCTTTTCCTGTGTATTGTTTACGGATTCATAACTGCTGCAGGCTGTGTCTGTATATTTTGCTCCATCAAGTGAAACTTAAAATAAACTGTGGAAGCAATGTGCTTTTATCAAATAAGATATTTATAACATGAGAAGATGACTAATTATACTCTGCAGATTGGAGTTCACTATTGCTCGAGCACATACAGTACGGTCCCTTCTGAATCGTCTTTGGAGTTTTTCAAAACTCTGAACCATCGAAAGTACTGACACGGTTTCATTCTGTCTTTTAACAAATATAAATTCTTTATTTTACACCAGTTGTAACATGCAAATAAAATGATCCAAGTTCAACTCTTTATATGGTTCAGTGTTGTCTTCTCTCTTTAGCATGAGAATACACAGCAAAGAAAATACTAAAAATCTGAGTAATCATTTTGCATCAAGTTAAGGAACTTCGGAGGGATAAAGTAGCAATATTTGGCACAACAGGGAGGACATGATACATTCAAATAAACAAGACAAAATAAAGTCAAAACCATTTCATGTTCCTCAGGTTGTCCTCCGTTCAGTCGGTGCCAAAGTACCTCTGTCCAAAATGTGTCGGAGCCACTGGATGAACCTCCGTGGTCAAGATGGTGATATCGGGGAACTCCTGGATGATAGATTTGGCTCCTGGGAGTAAAGTAAAAGGTATTAGACTTTGTGTAAGGTGTTTAAATGTAGCCCAGGATATCCAGCAACACTGCTGTACCAAAAAAAGTGTCTGAAAGTGATACAACAGCAATCTGAGAAACTAACACCCACAATAAGTCAAACTTATTTTCGAAAAATACAAAGTTAAACCTACTCTTGAAAACCATGAATATTCACATTAAATGTCATTGCAATCTGGCTCGTATTTTAACGGAGAGAAAACTACTCTATTGTTCACTCGTATAAAACCATTGTTGGTTGAACTGCTGAGCAGGATCATCACTGTGGTTCCCAGCAGTAAGGAGACAATGACACACCAGGAACAAGAGCGGAGACAAAGTGTGTGATCTGGTGGGTGAACAAGAGTAAATGGCCGGTGAACTGGCTGTGGTGGCGTACCATGAGGCGTGGAGAAGAGGCTGAGGAGGATGATGTGTCTGGGCTGGAGTCCGTGCTCTATCAACACCTTCACTGCCTCGATCACGGTGTTCCCAGTACCTGCAGACACAGAAAATGTAAGGTTTCGACACAAATGTGTTTAAAATATTGCGCACTCACTTTTACCATGTTTCGGGTTAATAATGTCTTACAAGTATTGATTCATGGTTTTGTTCTAAATTTTAAAAAAAAAGGGAAACAATTAAGACGGTTTGCACGTAACCGGTGTTAGCATCTGAAAAAGGTGCTGGAGCTGTGAGCTGATCGATCTGCCCATGAGTCAGAGCGCTTGGCAGGCTTTCATTTCTGACGCATTTAACATGCATCAGTGTAATCATATGTTCCATCACTCTGACATGATAGATAATACCGTCAAAACCGGCTTGGTCCTCGTCATATTTTTTTCAAAAACAGAGCAGAAAAATGCTGCTTTGTGACACTGGGAAAGCAGGGCTATTACGATCCTATTTTTGTTGGCCCTCATTATGCTATTCAGCAGCTTGGTGGCCAGGCAGTGTATAATTTCCCCCATGAGAGCTATAATTATCAGAACAGTGTGAATGGGCCGCCGGTATGATGTGGAAATGCAGACTTGCCGGTGAAGGTCAATTCAAGGGAGATTTCGTGAAATGAAAAATACATGAAACCGTTTTTTACATTTGCACAAAAAATGGGACATATCTTGACATTTACGTGCTACTGAGGGCGGTAAACTGGATTCATCAGAAAGATAAACTGTGCTCAGACCTGCGTTACTTACTAAGGATGGGGTACATGAGCAGCACTTTTCTTCTGTACACATCTGGAGGGAACTTGGCGTAGAAGACCTTGGCTTTCTGTGTCTCCTCATCGCTCTGGATCAGGATCTTGCCGATGCGGATGGAGCGGCAGCAGTCCCGGAGACCCTGCTCCATGGCCTCACCTGTGGGGGGACACGGGGGGGACGCGGCTTCGATCAAAGAGTTGTTGTTTGGGAGCCAGTGTGCCCGCATCACTTTTGTCAGACATTTGACATTTTCTGCCCTAGCATTACTGTCATAAGAGGATAATATAGGGTTTGCAATAACTGCATTAGGTTTAGCATTTGACAGCAATATGCCTTCAGATAATATGTTCTGCAAAGTACAGAATTGTCCCATTATTTAATATTAAAATCATCAATAAATGTCACTGACAGAAACGAATTACCTGCTGATAAAAAGCGAAAGACCCGGAGCACACAATGGCCTGACCTGATGAATATGTGCTTAACACAATGTGCAGTCGGCACAAATCCCATGTGCATGGAAGACAGGACACATGTCCTCACAAAAGGTGACTCTAGTTTGGTAGGTTTAACTTACCACTCCTCATTATGCTGACTCCACAGTTGCCTCTTTCAAACTTGACACCTTCATACTTGTACCCTGAGGGGACAAAAGAAGTATGGCCGTTCACAAATATAGCTGCACTGAAACAGCCCACTGGATGGGAGCCCTGCACCTATTGTTTTTTCATTTTTGTTATTATAATCTGTTAAACTCTAGAATGGATCTTAAATGTTGGAGCTCAGTTCGGTGTCCAACCTATAAACCTTGATTATTAGAGAAAGAGACCCTCACCTGTTGGAGTGGTTACAGTGCACTCCGAGTAGGGGAGCTGATTCAAACCCTCTTCAACTACTAGTCTGATCTGTTGTTGGAGAAAGAAAAAAGCTTACAGCTTGTAGTTTATAAACATACACGTACAGTACGTAGTGTTATTTAACGATCTCACCAGTCGATCAGCGCAAAACACAAAGTCTCCTCTGCTGGTTGTCCTGAAGAAATGAATATAAACATTTGGTTAGATTGTTGAGAATGTACTTTTCACGAGGGATGCACCAAACGCTCTTCATGTCTCCTGTTATGATCCGTAACTTTATGATATTGATACTTGGCGCTGATACTATACCAGTGTCCTCACAGTGTGGAGCCAATCGGGAACATTCCTCTTTGTGTGTAAGGTGAAGTAAAATGAGGCTGAAACTACACAAAACACTATTTTGATGCTTGTGCAAAAACATTTATATCATTCTAGAGGGCTTTTAAAATGATATAGTTAAAAACATTATTTATTACAACAGTGACCAAGAAACAGTATTTAACCTCTTAACATCCAGTTCCTCTTATTTCGCCGATAAGTAGCTTCAAGGCTGGAACATCATTTTATTCCACAGACACTGCACGTCTTTCTTCAGCTTGTTCCAGACCTTCATATATGATGGTCACACTGTGTGAAATATTTTAGTAAATTTGGTATTGTTGTAAACTCTGGGACGTCTACTGGATATTAAAGATAAAGTTCTGTGGGTTTTGAGGGATGTTTGGCTGCACAGCACCAGTGTGCATTGACTGTTCGTCTGGTAAGACAGTTATATTGAAGAGGTTTGATTGGATCACTCATCAATACCACTGCCGACATCCATCATATACACCAACCAACAGAACTATATATTATCATAACATGAGACAAGACTGTATAGTAGGGCTGCACGATTATGGCCAAAATCATAATCGCGATTATTTTGATTAATATTGCTATCACGATTATTTATCACGATTCATACATTATTCATCTCGTTCTCCCCCTGGTGGTCGGCTGACTGTTAGTTGAGGAAGCGCTTGATTTGATGTGTAGCAGAGCACGCATTTTAAACGTCAATATCGCTGATGATCATGCTCATTTAATCGTGGCAGCCAAAATCGTGATCGCGATTAAAATTAGATTAATTGTGCAGCCCTACTGTATAGTTATTATATTGTTGCTCCTTTAATTAAAGACTGAAAGCAAATTAAGTGCAATAAGCTGCTTTTTTTTTGTGAGCATCTAAGGTAAAACATTTTGTATTGTTTCACATACAAAACTTTAATCTGTACCACAGCCATCCTATTTGTTGTGATCTGTATGCCGAGATAGAAGAGTGGGGACTCACTTGTCTCTGATTATGGTCTGTAATTCACGGATCTGGTCGTTCAGAGGGAGCAGCTTCAGCTGAGGTCCCAGGTTATCTGGGATGTCAGTCTGTTTGGTGGCATCAGATGGTTCAGAGTTGGACAGCACTGCAGCCACATCACTACCACTGCTGCTACTGCTGCTGCTGTTGTTGTTGTTGTTGTTTGCAAACCGTACTTGCTTCATTGGATGCTCCTGGCCACTGTTCACATTGTCGAGCTGCTGATTGTGGCATAGCATCCTGAGCGCGAGATCAAAGAGGGTTTCGCTTAAAACGGAGCTAAAGCCAGACCTGCGTTTCCTTGACCCAGCGACCCAGTTCAACTGCTGTTTGACAAAATAAGGCCACGTGTTCTTGCTTTTAGCTTCGGCTGCTGTTTTGAAGTGAGGTTCTCGGAGTCGCGCAGCTGCCGCACAGAGAAAGCCCACCAGCAACACGTTCACCGACCTTTAGGTACTCAGTTCCGTCGCGTTGAAATCAAACCAGCGGCTGATATTTCGTTAAAAAAGTATTATCAAGTGCAGCGGCTCGTATGCTAGCTTTGACACTGAGAGCGTTGGCAAAGACCGGATATGACGTTCCGGCGTACTTATCCGCCTTCCTCCTTCGACAACATGGCGCCGGTGTTGGTGCCGCTGAAATGCGGCATTCACTTCCAAAGACGAAAACTAGCGCTTCTCCTTCGACAGACGAGCTCATATCACAGTTGGAATAGAAGTCGCCTTGAAAATGGGACCGAGCATAAACGCCAAAGTACATATCTGGTGAGTAAAGGGGTCGGAGAGGACACAGTGTGGTTGATCAGTCACCACGCAAGGGCACGGATGGGAAGTGTCTCTAACTAACTTTAAGGGAAGTAGTAACATTAGATGATTTTGGTCAGTTCGTTTGCAAGAGCGGTGAATGTCATGTCAATATAATGTCAGGCAACCAACTGCTAACTTGGTGTTGACCAACAGCTAATGTTAGCTAACTAAACTAATGTAAACTAGTAGCATTATTGAACACCAAGGTGAATGCTTAACGTTACAGTAAGCTCTGCACTTCGCCCCTTAGTTCTGACCGTTTGCTAAGTGAACACATAACGGCAAAAGGCCCACTGTCACTATTTAACAAGCGTAGCGTGTCACGTGTTATTGTATCAGTTTATTCATCACGTGTCAACCGTCTGTTATTGATCGTTTGACTACGTCACTGTTAAACAACAAGTCATTTTAAAGGCTGTAGTCTTTGGGTGTTGAATTGTTGTGTTAAAGGTAACCCTGACTAAAAGTTATCATTTGAGCTCAGTGTACAAACAAATCACACATTTACAATTAATATGAGACATTATTTGTATGACATTGGCATAAGTTAGTAAATATGTAAACTTGCTGTCACTAAATTGATGCTTTTCTCAAATATGTTGTTTGTAGTATTTGATCACATAATGTGCTAGGTCAGCATAGATCAGAGGTTGGATTGCGCAATGTCTTCATGGAGATAAAAGTATCTAATATTTGCTCACTCAGCAATAAAGATGTCTTTGTATGAATGTAGGCTCAGTGTGCCTTTGGTCACTTCAATCTGTGAGACACATTCATTTAATTCATTAAAGTAAAGTGCTTGTTTTTATTGGAATCAAATGTATTTGCAGTTTATTACACCCTTTCTTGTGTGTTTCATTAGTTCTGTTATTCCTGATTGTGTTTCAGAGTGTCTGAATATTAAAACATCCACAAAAATGAACCGGCAGAAATTCGAAACATCAGTCAAATGAGGCTCTTTATTTTCCTCATATGTTTCAGCTGAGTTCACCTCCACACCTACGAACAGCAACATGGAGCACAAACAGGAGCGCAAACAGTCGGCACATTTTGGAGGCGGTAAAAGTAAGTATGTTTGAGAAATGACCGTGAATCACGTGTGTTATGAAAGTCAAAAGTAGAATAACAATCCATGATGTTTTTCGCAGCATTTGCAGATTACAGACAAACGAACATGTTGGCATGGAAATGCAGGAGGAAAGCTAAATGCAGATCCCAAAAATGTGGTGAGTACAGAACCTTCTTTTCACAGCTAACCGGGTTGGTTTGGTTAACATGGACTCAGATCATTTAGCCCGGTTAGTGTGGTTAATTTGGGCTGGTGTGAAAGCTGTCAATCGAACCCTGGTGGGGACTAAACAACTGAACCGAGATCGCTTGAAAAGCAAAGGAACCAACCACAGGATTGTATGATGGCGTCTATGTGACTTTAGCATGATTTCAAAAGCTAAACTACAAATATATCCATCTGCTGATCTTGAAATCTATTCAGGAAGCGTTCTTATAATTGTTACGAGACCGTGTATGTATTGTTTGTTAACCATGGTAACACCAATGCACGTCAGCGCGGGTCTTCTCCCTGATTAATAGGTCAAAAGCTGTGAAAACTGCTGCACTTGATTCCGACTCCGTGTCCTTTGTCAGTTCATGAAGTCCATTAAAAAGTGTGTGACAGAAATCTCACAGTAATGAGCCCCGAATCGTTACTGTGCAAGACCTCGTTGTCGTTCCGTCTGCCAGTTAGTCATTATTCGTAACATGCGGCCAATTTGAAGTCTAATAATACTTCTAATCGTCACTTATTTCTTTGTGAGCTCTTTGTGACACCAAAGAACATATAGGATTAAACATCAGCAGCGTTAAAGTTCAGTCACCTACACATCTGTTCTACACACAGGACTTTGATTTACCCTCGTGGGTCCTGATGATGCAGGGTGACAATCTCCAAAACCGTCCCGTCAACGAGTTCCCCGTCTGTCTAACTTCATGTTTACAAAACTCACACGTGAATTGAAAATAATGCAGTGCACTCAGGCTGCAGACATTTTTTTTTTCAGTATTGATTCATTGAATAACTCAGTTTTGGAATCTAAAAACTGTATTAGGGACAAGACAAGAAAAACCCCTTAACTAATCGATTATATTACTGATCATGTAATCTCTGTAATCTCTGTGTCCTTAGTGATCAGTGTTTGGAACATATTTTACATGCCAAGAGACATGGATTGTACCAAACCTTTTTGTTATTATTGTTATTATTGTTAGGGCTGCAGACTACCGGTCTGATACCAGTGTTTATTAATTATCTGTATGAAAGTGACTGGGATCATTCTTTTATGTGTAAGGCAATATCAGCTTTGACTTCAACATTACCTTCCTAACTTTTTAAAAGAATATGTAACAAATAAATACAGAGATATACATTATTTATTATCAAAATAATAAGAAAACTTGGTTTAAAAAAAGAACATGAATCCATCTTTTTTTATTTCCTACACTATAAATGTTTAGTGTATAAACATACTTGTGTCCTCTGTTTTTCTCTTCACTATGAAAGTAAAATTCTGTAAACTGAGTCAAAATGGTGCTATTTGTATATTTAGCAAAAAGCTACATTGAAGTTCGGCATCCCCTCTTTAATTATACATGAACTGGTGTCCACATGTAGTACATGGACCTCAGTCGTGCATTCAACTGTTAATGTTAATCCTCCCTTTGCAGTGTCACGTACTGCTTCATTGTATTTGATTAAAGGCAGATGTTGGGCACAATTTCCCTGTAATTTGTTTGGAGGCTCTGCCATACAGCAGCGCTGTAACACGGTGCCACCATATTGAGTGGATTAGAGGAATTACTGCATATTCTTTGGCCCACGGAGAGTCCCCGTGGCAGGTGTGCGGTGGAGCGTGTGCAAACAGACATGTTGGCACCAGTGGCCTCTCAAACTCAGCTGGGATGACAGCCCAGGTGTCTCCTGGGACTTGTAGTGTCAGACTGGACCCCCAGGTCCACCTGGAGACGACGCTGTTGTTGTTGCTCCCGGGTCTCTCAAGAGGATCCCATTGACATTTGATGTTTCATGCGTCTGCCCAGAGAGCCATCTTGAAGTTATTATGATTGTCACATTAAAATCAAAATGGAAGTTAGTTGCCAATATGGGCAAACATTAGGTTGGTTGAACGTTAACATTGTAGTGTAGAATAGTTATCGTTTTAATCATGTGACCTGTATCTAACAGGACAGACCGGTATTGGGATCTAAGAAGAGGCTTTGCTTTTGTTGTCTTCTCCACAGCTGAACGAAGTGAATTCAACCCAGATCCTGTCTGCCATGCTGTCCTACGTGTGGCCAAAGGACAGACCAGACCTGCGGGCCCGTGTTGCCATCTCTCTGGGCCTGCTTGCTGGAGCCAAGGTACGTTTACAGACAATGTCGTGGGTATTAAAGGTTCATTCCTATTTTACTGATATAACGCTATATTTGATCTGTTGGATCGGCGATAAGCAGTGTTATTAATGCTTACCCTACAGCTGAACATAGTGTAAAGTCCAGCTCCTTAACCTTGAGGAAGAGTGACACTTAGTCTTAGTTCGGCTTTCCTCTTCCTGAATACGTTCGGACCCGTTTTCTCTCCGATACAACTTGTTAAAGCTGAAGATATACTCGTTTAAAAGGTCACTGTTTTCTAAGGTTGTGCTTCAATTCTCTTCTCTTTTTAGAAGTACATCATACAATGTGATGGTGTAACTGAGTATATTCTGTATCTCATAATATGATCTAAAGTGACTAAGAAAAATAAGACAATAAAAATAATAACCCACCAAAAATGTTGCTATTGTCCTTAAAGACTGGGTAACAAATCTTGCTCACACCCGACTGTGCCTATGCCACTGCTGATGTGCTGATGCTTTTGACCGTATAACAAAATATAGATTAGGTCTCCGCTGTGTGAAATGATTGTGGACAGCGCTGCCGTTAGCTAAGTTGATGCCATGTAGGTCATGGCTAGCTTTGTGGTAACTTGAATACTCGTCACGCTCTCCAGACTTCACTCATCACCTGCTTCCACAGTTTTAGACTCCTTTTTGCACGCCGCTGTTCGTTTTAATCTGTCCCTGTTCTGCAAGAAAGTGTAGAAGTGGTGCGTCGTAGACGATTGGAAATTTGAACTAGTGATTATTCGCTTTTCTCCGGTTAAAAAAAAAAAAAAAAAAGATAAAGAAATCCAGAGATGGGCGCTTCCAGTGAAGCAGTGAGTGACAATTCAAGGTCAGTGCTGACGTCAATTAAACCCACAACATTATCAAGTGTCAGAGATCAATCTTTTAACTTTGTGCTTTTTCTATAACGAGTGAGGAGGAATCCAGAAAGAGTGCCAGTGTTCAACTAAGTTTGAGTCGGCATAAATCATTTCCCAAACGCTAACTCGTGTTTTAAGAGAAGACGGCAGAATCACTGTGGTGGAGTTCAACCTGTCTCACAGCAGAATGGTGCAGTGCTAGGCGAGCTTAGGCAGTTACACAGTTTAAGACTAAATACCACATGTCTTTGAATATTTTATCCTCTGTCTTTTATTAATATAACGAATAGTGGATGGTACATTCACACCAGGACATCAATCAGGCATCTGGACTTCCAGCATTTGCATATAGAAGTTTACCTCTATTTTCAACACCTTTTGTCTTATTTCTAAGCATGACATTTCAAACACTCACCTTCCCAAATGACTATAGGAAATATATCTCATGTGAATAAATGTCAACT